GACCTATACCACGTACCTACTGACTTTAATAAAGCATTAGTTTTTGTTTCTAGAGAATTGTCTAGGTTATCAGATATTAACAAGGATGTGTCATCGGCATACATGACAAAAGAGGTATCAGAAACTACGTTGCCAAATTCGTTGGTATACAGTAAAAATAGAATTGGGCCTAGTATGGATCCTTGAGGAACCCCTATACCGACTTCCAGAGATCCAGAATTTATATTAGATGAAATATTCTTGTCCTTGTATGTCAGACTAACATACTGTTTACGTTTTTTCAAAAAAGATGCGACCCACTCGTTTGCTACTCCCCGTACACCATACGAGGACAGTTTTGAAAGCAACTTGTTATGATTAACGCAATCGAATGCCCTACTGATATCACAGAATATGCCAATAGGACACTCTCCTGCTTCAATATATTCAATAATTTTATAATAGAATGATAACAAAGCAGTACTTGTAGACTTATTAAACTGGAAACCATGTTGATGTTCTGAAAAAATATAAAATTTTTCAATAAATTTCAAAAGTCGCTGCATATAACAATGTTAAAAAATTCTGGAAAATGCGGGTGGAATAGTTACAGGTCTGTAATTTTCCATAAGTCGTGGATCGTGTTTTTTATAAATTGGAATGACTTTATCTACTTTCAATATACTTGGAAAAACTCCCTGTGAGAAAGATAAATTAACAAGATAGGTAATAGGATGGAGAAACAAATTACTGGATTAATTTAAATTTTTATTTATTAACAAAATGCATGTTTGTGATGTACGTAAGCAGGTACTCCAAATTAAAAAAAAAAATATCAAAATGGGTCAAGTTCCAGAGGTATAACTTGCTCTATCAATTTGAAGTTGCTATTTCAAATTTTGAGCTCGTGGATTTGTAGGTTCCCTCTCCACTGACTCACAGTCATCTTGTATCGAAGTCATTATTTGGAGCATTCTCAGAGATGCTGTTACAAAGCTATCGTCCACAAAAATTTCACATATAAACTTTAGCTCTTCAAAATGGTATTTATTAGAAGTCTTAATTGTTATAAACAAAGTAGCTGTGATTTAAAAAAAAGTGTCTAAGTTTGCTCCAAATTAGGTTAGAACAACTTTTTTTTAAATTTGTGTAAAAATACCAGCTTTACGAATTTACGAGTTTATAAGACAAAAATGACAGTGTTTTTGTGGTACGTCTTTGCAGTGGTAAAAAACAATTTTTTTGCAATAAAATAATTTCTTTAATACCTAAAAGAAGTCTTTCTCTTTCATATGACACCCGCAGAATTAAATTATCTTGGTAATTTTGCATGTCAAGTTATTGCAATAATAATGCCTCTGGGATAAACATTTAGAATTTTGCAAAAACTATTGGATGAATCGGTCTGAAATTTTAATCACATATTAAGGACTATAAAAGCCAACTATTTATGCAATATCAAAGTCGTAGGTTGACTTTTGCAAAACTTATTGTTTATTTAGTAATAATCGAATTTGGACAGTTTTTTGCAATTTTGCGAGCAACAAATTATCGTATCGGACTTTAAAAACCGCCATTTTAAAGGTTTTTTTTTTATTCCCTACAAGTTGGTTACTTTCACATTATAATAAAAATTATCGTTTTTTTCTGGTAGGCAAAAAACTGGTAGACTGGGTTACTTTAGACCTTTTATTGTTAATTATTAAAAAACAGATCCTAAAAAAATACGACAATAATAGACGAACGGTCCACCCCTAAAAGGATGCTTAGAAAATCAAGGTCACCGACCACGAGGAGAGGCCAGGATGAAACCTTTTGTAATCGATGCATTGAGTTACTGCGAACAAAAAACCTAAGTAACGTCTTTGTGTCCGAGTGGCAGGTAATTTGTTATTAACAAAAAAGTTGCAAAATAAAAATATTGCGTGGGCACTAGCGGCCGAAATTCAACTGCAAATTAAACGGGTTAAAAAAGGGGGCGGGTTTAAAAAAAATACTACATTAAAGTATAAGTCTCGAGGATCATTTTGCGCTTTTGAACGTTCCGAAAGCTTTGGTAGGAGCTGAGATATGAATTTTTAAAGTTGGCAACTTTTAGCCATTTTTCGACCTTAAATCGCCTCTAGCTCGAAAGGGAAGCGTCCTACGAAAAAATGTCAAGAGACAAAAAGTGTTTATTTTTGCCCAATTTATCTTGGAAAATTATTTGCAGAGCGTTTTTTGCAATATTTTTATTTTGCAACTTTTTTGTTAATAACAAATTACCTGCCACTCGGACACAAAGATGTTACTTAGGTTTTTTGTTCGCAATAACTCAATGCATCGATTACAAAAGGTTTCATCCTGGCCTCATCCTCATCCTCCTCGTGGTCGGTGACCTTGATTTTCTAAGCATCTTTTTAGGGGTGGACCGTTCGTCTATAATGACACTACCTAATAGCCACAGCAATCAACATCTTGTTTTCATCGCCTACTAAACTCAAAGTTTTAAATCCGTGACACTGCTACGCAAACCGAAACGTACAGACCTGCATGTAATGTAATTTTTCTCAAAAATGGCTTTTTGTGGGCGATTTTCTCAAGAGACAATATTTTTTTAAAATAAAATGACTTTTTCAATGTTGCTGCCCGTTTTAAAATAATACGACCACTGTAAAAGTTTTAACCGCTAAAAGGGAGAGGTAAACGGAGAAAACTACCACACACTATCGATTTGACTAAAGTTTTAAGAAATAATACGCTATAATAGTCCAAATAAATGTCCCAAATTTATACGCGATCGGTAAAAGATTTATGAAGTGATTAATTAAATTAGTTTTATTTTTGACAACTTTGAAGGCCTGTAACTCAAAATCAAAAAGTTTTTATTTAATTTTTTTTCGAATAGGTATCGTATTTATTTATCGTCGTGAATATACAGTTAAACGTTGTCGGTGAAATTTGCGGACACCCTGTATAAAGATTATAAAATTTAAGGCTACCTAGAAAGTTTACTAAAAATCCTTCATAATTAGTAAAACGTAATTGTAACTGAATTAATTAATTTCAGTGGTTCAGAAGAAAGATTTCTACCTTCGTCATGACCAAAAAAGTCGGCAACTCAACGTTTAAAGATTTTTTATCCTGATTAAATTTTCTTCTAGTGCATCAGTGTTAGAGGTCAGATTGGACAAAGTGATAGGTGTCCTAATTTGTTATAATTGATACACAAACGGTATTGACAAAAGACGGTTCGTAATAGACGACTAATAGATGGATTTGACCTACTTGCTTGTAATTGAGATATTATCGATAAAATTAGGTGATTTATTAAATCTAAATGTTGAGTCTCAAAGTTTAAATTATAATTTGACGATAATTTTATGGATTTGTGACATCAGTATAGTCAGTATGTATTGATATAAAAGTATCACGTATCAACTTATATTACATTAAAATCTTCAGCAACTGGAGCCCAAATCACAACCGTGTAGAGAGCACCATGCTAACAGCTATAAGGAGATAAGGATTATAGAGATCATTAATATGATTATAAAACAACGCGGCCCTAAAACAGAACCCTGAGGGCCACCTACAATAAAAAATAAATATATGCACTTTTTATTATTGATTTTAACTTCTATAGCACGTTTTTTCGATATAAAAGGACTTATTGCAGTATAACAACCCCAGGTTCGATCGAAAAAAAAAATAAGTAAACGTAGTTGTGGCCAGAAATACGTGATCGTCATAGGGAATACCTACGTTGTATACATCTATTTTTTTTATTTGAACGGAAGGCGCTGGCTTGAACTTTAAATAGGGGAAGTATGGTTTAATTTTATAAAACAAAAGCAGAGTAAATACACCTAACTTTATTATTTACATACAACAGTCTTCAAATTAAACATGGGACAAATAGAAAGAACAACAAAAACATTAACAACCATTTAACATAGAACGAGAGTGCCAGGCTCACCTAGAGCTCCTGTGGGGAAAGAGCATGGCAGAGAAACCCACGATCGTTGCTTTTACCACCCAAATATAAATACAAAACAACCGCTAACCAAAGGCATAAATTAAGATCCTTTACTAATGATAAATAAGACCTGTCTCATTTAATGTGTCACTAAATGTCATCTCACTTATATTGGTCATACGCACTTCCAAGTAAAACTGAAGAGGTTTGGTGTTAGTTAACCGGCAGGGCCGGAAGGTACTGGAGTCCCATACGGGAGGCAATCCAGCTATAGTTGAGATTTCGGAAGATCTGTTTTAGCAATTCTTTTTTTGTATTTAATTATTCTTTTTTTTCAGATTCGTTCCTCACGGGCGAAAATGTTAGTGAATTCAACAAGGCCCTTATATGCGTCTTGACATAAAGTGAGCACAAGAAATATTTTATTACTTGTTTTTCGAACAACGTAATCATGATAAAACAAGTTAAATGTGAAACAAAGAAGTTGTTTTTGCAATATCCGGGCAGTCACGACATTGTATATACATTTTAACATATGTATAATAAATAATGAGCAATCTATAATAATAATTGTAACAATTTTACCTTAGAAAAATATACGCCCCTGAGCGTAAGACAATGAAGGCTAAACATATACAGAATTATTACCATGAAACGTCTATAATCATCACAATCATAAGATTATATAGAACAATTAACAACAAAGTACTTAAAGAATATTACCTGCTAACTAATACCGGTTAAACACTTAATTTTTCACTATTTTTGACACACTACCCGCCGATCGTCTTGCTACCTATTTGCACACTGTTCTCACTTCAACTATTTTGCCTCACTGCCCGCCGATCTTCTTACTACCCATCTCCACACTTCAACTACTTATCTTCAATCATCTAGGCTTTCTTCCAGAATTGCCCCACCTAGGCGTTTGCTTTTTTTGCACTTCCTTCTACCAACCGTTAATATTACTTTTTCATTATTGTATAACACCCATGCAACAGGTGACGTCGAAGTTGATAAGATAAGTACGGTTTTGCATATTATTTTGTCTGTTTCTTTCCAGACCAATTCACCAAGTGCCTAAAATGACCAGAAAATCATCTAGATCCACTCACTGAGCTACAAGTTCGATAGTAAAAGTTGACCAATACATTTTGCGTAAGATAATGGAGTCAAGGAAAAAGTCCAACGCCAGTGACATCAGCATATACCCGGGGCTCAAAGAAACTTCCACCGAGGATGAAATCAGTACGGGTAACACCGAGGATAGCTTGCTCAGTTCCAGGACTAGCACGGAAACTATAAGCTCCAAGAAGAAAGACGGTACGCAGTGCTGCCTTAATAAAAAAAAAGGAAAATGTGGTAAGTCAAGATTTTTGTTTATTTCGGACTTAAATTTGTTTATTTCTTGTCTAATAGTTATTTCGATGACACAGTTAAGCGTTTTATTGCATATTAAACTTGTCTGGTAGCCTTGAAAAATTAAAATAACTTTAACATTAAAATATATCCATGGAGTTTAATATGGGATAATCAACGCGTTTTGGCAAAGAATTCATTCAACATTCGAATCTCTTGCATAGATATGCAGGAAGAAGTGTTATATGCAAAACTAGTAGCAGTAAGGTTAGGTTATGTATCTTATTTGGCATATTTACGCGTATCAGTTATGAATATTTATAGCTTTAAAATACAGGGCGGCCCAATTTATGTACATGATAATGGTAGACAGTTCTTGGCAATCAAAAAAGTCGAATAGTGACCTTTGATTTTTTTTTATTTTCTTTCCAATCATATAAAATTTGTATGGCTTTGCATAACGAAATTTTTGAGAAAAGATGAGAAAACTTTCAGCCTCTGACTTTAGTTTACGATGTTCGCTTTCTAAATTATATCAAAAAGAAGGCGCTGGAAAAACAATTTTGCATACGGCTATCTGTCACATATCGGTTTGTTTGTAATTGTTGTCACCTTTCAAGTTTGACTTATAACAAAATTAATGATTTTAATGTAGAAGTTGATATGCTACTGGTTTATGAGGAATGTAGAAAAAACAGTGTTGCAGCTTTACAATAGGCATGATGACAGTAACTAAGAATCACTAAAAGTATGTATTCATCTAATGAAATATGATTCATGGATTATAAAAAACGTATTTATTTTTATATTATGTGCGAGATTGATAATATTTTTGATAAAATAAAACTACAAAATACAGCAAACCGCTATGATAGGTTGAACACCAATCAGAGCGAATTAGGTATGTCACATCTACAGGGCTTTCATTAATGTCCGAGACCCACGTGACCGCGACGATAGGCAACCAACATTACATTTCCCAATACAAATTGGTATTCCATAAAAATTAAAACACTGAATCAGTCTATAGCACCAGTGGTGTAGATATTTTATTTTTATCAAAGGAAAAGGTAATTTAAGAAAGATGTCATTTTAACCGTTTATTTTGATGTATTAATTTAGAAATTTACATTAACTCAGAACTGAAATTAAGAAATCCGGCTTACACCTGAATAAGTCAAATTCAAAAAAACAATTTACAATTGATTGTTGAACATTTAATATTTATTAAAAATTTTATTTATTACATATTGCATACATCTTGCCATAAAATTTTTATGTAGCAATATTTCTGGAAATATATTTGGATCCGAAATTGCAATGGGACAGGCACGCCCACTACCTCTGCAATAAGATCTCCAAGGGTATCTATTTAATCCGCAACTTGATTAGCAAAGTATCTCAAAAAACGTTAATTACTGCTTATCATAGCCTTATTCACTCCCGAATATCCTATGCTATCCTGATTTGGGGTCATTCACCTTCAGCTGATATCGTTTTTGCTACTCAAAGAAAAGCCATTCGCATAATCTAGGATTTAAAATTCAGATTCATTTCAGAGATGACAGAGCACGGTTCAAGAAACTTGGTATTTTAACATTACCATGTACTTACATACTCCAGTGTCTTTTGTACGTAAAAGAAAATGAAGGGTCGTTTACTGTCCGTAGCCAAATCCATTCTAATAATTCTAGAAACAAAAATGACATAAACTTAAACTTTCATCGCTTAAGTAAAACACGTAATGGCACATCATATCTGGGCATCCAGTTTTGCATTACCAGCTCCAGTACGTCATCTCAACCCTACTTTATTTAAAAGCAAAATAAAACACTTTCTATTAACCAACGCATTTTATACTACGCCAGAATTTTTAAAAAGTTATCTCACCCTAATATGACTAACTTAGACGTAGGCTTCGCATACTTCAGTCGCATTGTTTCAGTTTTTTTCTTTTTACATTACTTATAATCTTATTTTAACATGTATCATTTACTGTTTGTTTGTTTTGTTATCCTCTTACAAACATTTTATTTTAACATTTGACAACCATTTATTGCTTGTACTTGTAATGTTTTATTACCATTTTCTTTGTTCTTTAAATTATGAACTAGTTACTTGTCAACACTGTTATATGCGTGTGTGTACTGTGTTGTATATTTTACTACTATATTTTTTTCATAATGATTTTATATTACTACTGTAATTATTCTTTTTGGCGTGTGTAAACACTTTTGTGTACTAACACGAATAAATATCTCTCTATCTATCTATATATCTGTGAAAATCTTGAGAAATATCGAAGCTGGAGTTACTGATGGCCAAAATAAGTCGATTGAGCCAAATATGCCTTATGCAAATGTTGCTGGTTTCAAAGATGCAGGGCGTTCAATGTTTAAATTTTATTTTGAAATTCTCAATAATTTTGAAAACTGTCAGAGACACGCCATTTAATGACTATATTTTACATTTATATGTATATTTTATACGGAATTTAACTTGAGGAGGAGACCTTACTGGTGCATGAATTGCAAAACAGCTTACGGAGTTAGCCTTTAGTCCTGCTAGATTGCCTCACACTTAAATCTCCAATATTTTCCGATATTATCAAATAAGTTATTCTTTATTTTCATTTCTCTTCTCGATCTTCAAAAGTGGCTCTTCTGAGAGGCCCTAAACATGGCCAGTCCGACACCTTAGTATCATTACACTCAAATACTTGCATATAAAAATATTAGATACAATTTTCTTTTTATCTTTAATTATAGTGCACCACTCTATATATTAAACACAAATCGTACTCACTTTACGACGAATGATTTCATCGCATCTAAAAATAGATAGATACGGGCGTATTATTTTATAATTTTGCCACTTTTACTTTTGGAAAACACTGCATTAATAATGCATACCTGATCATCGAAGTTGCTTCTGGTACCTTGTTTTGTTTTTAAATACTACAGCTTGACCTTCTGCTGCATTTTTTGCCAAAAAAACATCAATGAAAAGGACGAATGATTACTTTTATAAGCGTACTTACCTCCCAATAGCAATGAATAAAAAAAATTTATTGAAACCTTTGAAATAAAAATATTCTTTATGCTGTTATAAGTTTGTTGTTTTCTTTTTTTTCATCCAGTATTAGGTAACAGAACCTTCAACTATTTATTGGTTTATGGTATTATGCACGAAAAACAGTCAATTACCAACGTCATTAATTCTATGAATTAGTGGATACTTTTTAGACGTACAAAGTGATTTCCATATTAATGTACCGCGTTAAAATTCAGATATTTCAAATTCGAAGAGTTCGCTAATTAGATTTCTTCTTTGTTTTATCATAGCCTCCTGAGAAATGTCTCACTAGGCCATATCGTTTCACGTTCCACTGCATGAAAAGTCACTGAAATCTCAGATTCGAGCCGAGAGAATGGAAATTGGCCGCAACCTTACTGTGAATAATATAATTCGTCACAACTCCACACAGTTATAGAATAAAAACATCGGTGAATGTCTGTTCCAAGTATACAGAATTATTTAAACGTTGCTATAATTTAATAACTGGATATAGTTAAATCGGCACAGTCCTGATTAGTCCATTAACATATCTTTGATAATAATCACGTTGCGTGTATAGGGTGGCTTGATTTCTTGAACGGAAAATTTGTTTTGCGTAAAGAAGATTTAAATTCAATCCAAAACATTATTTCTGAATTGTTGTAGTAAATTTTTCGCAGCGGGTTTAAGAAAGATTTCCAGCTGGGTCGCCAGATCTGAAACCTATTGTTTTTTATATTTTAATTATATTTTTATATTTTAAACACAGTGACTTTTTATATTGAAATATGTACTTAAAAAAGTATTTTGTTAACTTTCTTATTTCTATACTTAGTTTTTACCTAAAAATCTCGAATTCAATGCACTCTACAGACTATATTCCCTGAGTAGCATTGAATTACAGCAGCAATATCATTAAATGCAGTTTTCTGTCAGTTTTGACTTCTTAGTAGGTCTAAAATTTTTCGCAGTACCTACTCGATGTTACTTTTACTTTCATTTTGTAATAATTTATAATTTGTTCTTATAATTGCCCCCTCTCAATATGTGGTGAAAAATCAGGTCTACAGCTTTAATATTAACTGTGTATTATAATTTCTACTTCATAAAATATTTTAAAAGGCCCAATTCGTTCGCGGCGCATTTGTGACGTCATACCGTTCGACTGGGTGGACACGGCGCTCTATGCGCTATTTGCTAAGGTCTCAAGTTATTTATTTGTAGTATAGTTAATGTATTTAACACTTAAACACGTTGCATTTAAATAATAATATCACGAAAAGTAAACGAGATATCAACAATCCAAGAATATGTGGTTACAGAGGAGGTAATGCGCAACGCAATGCTGCCAACCGAATATCACTAAATATCTCCATTAGCACGTAATTCAAAGAGTTCGGTTATTTTCTGAACAGACCTCGTACATACATCTCTGTGACGTTTGTCCAAGGCTTACTACTTTGTCAATCATTTAAACAGGGAATCGATTCAAGTTTCTTTTTCTGATATTTTCTCCTCCACGTATATGAAATATCATATGGAAATTCTTCATTAAAACACCAGCGACTAAGCTTGTCAATTGGGTCCTTGAAAGTATATATATATATATATAATTATTACGGCTCTGCTGTAACACTTATTTAGTAACAAATGAACGTAGTTATTCCAGAAAATGTGTTAATTAATTCTGTTTCTCGGCCGACTACGATATTAAGTACTTTGAATGATAAAACAGAAGCTAGATGGGTGTTTCGCAATTTCGTACACAACAAACGACAATTGCTGATGATACTCAAATATAAGTATTTATAACTATGAAAAAATCTCTGCAGTTCGAAAAAAAATATGGGTCGGTACTTCTCAATCTGTTGGCTATAGGCAATCTGGATTTTTTTTAGGGTTTACACATAAATTGAAACAATACCGCACAAAAAAGTATTAGAAGC